CTATGTGTGTGAGCGAGCGAGCCGGACCACCCACCCGGCAGATTCAGAGGCACAGGATTCACAGCCCATTCTGTTGACCCGGCTCCGGGCGAGACCCTCCCTGATTGTTTCCGAGCAGGAGGAGGAGGAGCGCTAAACAGTGGGCTGCGTTTCTCCTCTTCGGGCACACAAAAGGTGTCTGAATTACGTTGGTCGCGGGGCACTTGTGGAGCGGCCCTCCTGCCTGCCTGCCAGACTGACCGCCTGAAGAAACAGCTGTGGAGAGAAGTCTTGGTTTGACCTGCACCCACAACCTGTTTTCTCTTTCGAAACTAAGTGGTCAAGTTTTGTTTGACTAAGCATGGAGGTCAAATTCAGAATTGGACAATTTTAAGAGAGATTGATGTGATATCAATCTGATACCAAATGATAGGGGGCGGGGGGGGGGGGGTAATTGCGGAAGGAGATACCGGCACCGACGCAAACGTAGCTCAAAGGTGCATTTCAAGAACAACCAAGTGGGAAGTGTACAGGTACAAATAAATTAATAAAGTGATTAGCGCCCGGCCCACTAATTAAAACGGACCCTAACCCTCTTTTAAAATTGGCAAAAATCTGCATTATTCTTTCCCCTTCGTTTTTTTAATACATTAACACAATGCAGGGATAATGGTGTTCGAACATTTCCCACCTCTCAAAAGAAATCGTGAAATAAAAAATGATAAATGGGCTCATTTTTGCCAATTTTCTTTGTAACCCTTTCATGCACCCTATAACTTGATAACATGATAAGGTGTCCAATGTCGTAACTGCTATCCCTCAAAGGGTTAAAGTTAAACATATCGTCAATGTCCAGTAAAAAACACCTATGTCCATTTTTTTCTTTTTTGTTCTTTTTTTTTTTTTTGGAACATTTGTCCCGAAACACGGACACTCCATTAATGTTAAAAAAATAATAATAATTAATGGCAAAAATGGACATGTGTGTTTTTCAAATCACAGTGAAATATGCTAAAGGGTTAAATGTGGTAAAAAGTCAAATAGTAAGCCCGTAACTCTTTACTATTGTAAAGGGACCGAAAAAAGTCATTTTATTCCTTTTATGTTATTTAATTTATCGTCCGATTGATCAGTTTTCCAAATTTGAATCAGCCAAATATCGGAATTGGTATCGGATCAGAGATGATCATTCTTATGCTAGTTTACAATTTCCACCATTTTGATATTGGTAGAATAACAGGCGCATGTTTGTGCGGCAACATGCGCAAATGCGTTGAGTACGCAGACAGTTCCTGGGGCCGATTGAACACTCTTCCCACTGTCCCACACAAAAAAACGTGACATGTTGGGCTTTCACAGTTTGAAGATTCCCACCGTTCTCATCTTGAGGGGTAAATTTGAAATCCGTTTCGGTGGACACAATCTTTTGGAGCACCAGAACAAATGAAATATATTTTTTCAACATGAAAGAATGACATTTAGATTTTTGTTAAATTTTATTTTATTGTCAAAACGGTCAAGTTTAAATTTGAGCGGAGCAGTTTGTAAGTCTTTAGCCTTATTATTATTATTTTTTTTTCAACGAACTTTGTGCATTTGGGAATGACATCATGTCGGCTAAGCTATGACGGATGTGTTCCTCTCTGCGAGCCACTATGGCGAGTCCATCCATCCCCCCCCCCCCCCCCCCCCCCCCCCCCCCCACACACACACACCATATGCAGCGATACCACTGAGACGTTTCACTTTAATTGAAGGGGAAACAAAGACCCTTGACATGCTTCCTGGTCACTCATTCCCTTTAATCAATTTCCTCCCTTTTGGCCTTATATCATCTCTAATGACTTTTCCTCACCCGCCCCCTTGTGGGGTCCATGCGTGCGCGCGCACGCACACACACACACACACACACACACACACACACACACACACACACACACACACAAACACACAGACACACACAGCCCTCTTGGAGGCAATACCTTGGGCATCGATACTCTCCAGCTCCCCCCCTACCCCTTGGGCTCCCTCCAATCCTGGACAATGGTGAAGCCCCACTGGCTCAAGAACCCCACTAGGTCACCTCTGACCCCTTGCCCACATACCCTACTGAGCACCCCCGCCCATTACACACATACACACACAGTTTTACGTTCATTGCATCCCTTGGTAGTTTCCAATCATTTGTATTTGACCAGGAAGAAACAGTGGGAAACAACAACAAGTCGGAAGAAACTTTGCATAGAGGAGATGCGGAAGGCAGTATACCGGGTTTGATAGAGAATTAGGGTTTTATATTAGGGTATCAATCTAGGGTTAGGATTTGAAATGAGGGTTGCGGTTTCCGATTGGGGTTTCAAGCTAGGGTTTTGGCTTTAAATTAGGTTTAAGGTTTCAAATGACAGTTCGGGTTTCAAACTAGAGTTTCAAATGAGGCTTTTCAAAAAAAAAGAGTAGGGCTTCAGGTTAGAGTTTCAAATTATGTTTAGGGTTTCCAATGACGTTTAGGGTTTCAAACGAGGGGTAGAGTTTAAAATCAGGCTTTCAAAATAAGAGTAGGATTTCAGATGAGGAATTCAAATTAAGGTGAGTATTTCCAACTACGGCTCTTGAATAGGATTAATAGAATCTTTTTTTCTTGAAACATGATGGCTTTCTGACCCTATGGTTGCATTCACGTCAAACTATGGCACTTTTCTCATAACTTTATGATTACATTTTGTAACAAAAAAACAAACAAGATATGGTGTTTTTTTTTTTGACTTGCAACCCACCAAACACTGCCACTTTCTTCACCAAGTTACATTATGACCCGATTCTTTCAACAATACCAGTTCTACAACTTTATTATGTAACATTACGACTTTGAGTCCATTTTTTTTTCATCTGCAACTTACCTCAGGAACATTACACCGCCCTGTTCTTGTGATCTGCAAGAGGGAATCCAACACTACAAGTGCCACGCCGCCAAATGAAAATGTTCTTCACTCGCATATAATTTCCAACTTTTCGGCTCACCTGCCAGGTGGTTGCAGTATAAAATCCCGTCATATAATATCTTGGCACTTTTCCCTCCACGTGTATATTTTATAGGCTGGATGAAAATCCCCTTTTGAATTACACACCTTTGGACCCTTTCCAAAATTGACCACCCAAGGAAATGGCGGGACCCACGCATGCACACTCGGCGGGATTTATCACCGCTGTGCTTTACGGATAAAGCCGTCGATGGTATTGAGTGTGTGTTTGATGGGCAAGCAGGACATTGGCAAACGTTGTCATGGAGATAGAGAAAAAAAAAACATTCAGTGATTTATAAACCGGCGGTGGAATTTTAAAAGCTATTGTTCAGCTGACTGGGAGCCAGTGGAAGAAATAAAATATAATTACTAAGGAGGATTGTTGTCTTGCTGAGAAAATAAAATAAGAATAAAAAGTTGAAATGTTACAACAAAACCAAAATGGTTTGACAAACGTGAAAATAGGTTGAGGAAAAAGTCATAATTGCATGACACAATTGAAATGGTTCAATTAAAAAGTCATCATGTTATGGAAAAGGGAAAAGTATTTGAGCAAAAAGTCACAATGATAGGAAAAGGTGGATTTGCGACGAGAAAGTTGAAACGGTTTGAGTAAAGTCGGAATATCGTCATTGGGTCAGAACGGTTTAAGAAAAAAAATCCACAATTTACAATGATTTTAAAATGGTCCTAATAAAGAGTCATGTTGCAATTGTCATGATCCTGTTTTGGTGTGTCACCAGCAGGTGGCAGAGGAGAGCTTTCCCTCCAGCGTGCACACCTGCTGCCAATTTGTTCATCAAGTTAAACCATGTATTTAAGGACTTCCCAAAAGCAAAGTCTCTTGTCCGATTATTGGCTTTGTTGCTGCTCTTGCTCAAGTGTTGTTTTCTCGACCTTCCGCTCTCGTCATTGTCATTTTCGCTCTCTAGTCTCTCGATTGTAAGTATTTATATTATTTTGTCTTTTGATCTTGCTCTTGTTTGGTTTTGTGACATTGGACTTTTGTCAATTGCCTTTGCAAGTGCTTTTAGCGAATGTTTTGTTTTTCCTGGTTCTTTTTCACCAGCGATTTCTGTTTAGACTTTAGCAAAAATTCAGGTGAGATAGCAACTGTATCGTTGGTATTATGGTCATTACTGAGTCACTGTGGTGGAAAGTCACCACGGGGTACCCAATTTTTGGGGTGTAAAATTTCAGCAGAGGGGAAAAATAAATCGGGCGACACGGTGGATGACTGGTTAGCACATCCGCCTCACAGTGCAGAGGTACAGGGTTCATGCCGGCTTAGGCTTTCCTGTGTGGACTTTGCATGTTTTCCCTTTGCCTGTGTGGGTTTTCTCCGGGTACTCCGGTTTCCTCCCACATTCCAAAAACAGGCATGACAGGCTGATTGAACACTCTAAATTGTCCCTAGGTGTGAGTGTGAGCACGGATGGTTGTTTGTCTCTGTGTGCCCTGCGATTGGCTGGTGACCGGTTCAGGGTGTCCCCCACCTACTGCTCGAAGACAACTGGGATAGGGTCCAGCGCACCCCGCGACCCTTGTGAGGATAAAGCGCTTCAGAAAATGGATGGATGCAACCAAATATTTTATTTATGAATATTTTAAAGCTGTTAGACCAAAATATATGCGTAGAAGGTGCAGATATCTTCGTTATTATCCACTTCACCGTCTTCACACTCTACACTGTAGGATCTGTGACGGTGAATGTGTGTGTGTGGCCTGGCCTGTTGAGTGATGTGGCAGTCAGGGAATGAGAATATCGTGCCTGGCAAATATTTTCTCAATAAAGAGATTGAAAGCAGTGGCTGTGTCTATCGCAAGCACCTGTGGAGGGATTCGAATTTGTTCGAACTAGCAGTGGTATATCAAATTAACGAACGATGTTTACGGTACCATAGACGTGCAATCAACAAATGTAGGAAAGATCCTGTCATCAACACAAGACGAGACCATCCAGCATCACAAAGTGCTTTAATGCGGGCTCTTTTCCATTTCAGGGAGCTCTCGACCTCAAGTGTCGTGTGAGTGTTTGTCGCTTTACCGGGGCAAGGGACCTTATTTGGTAAGTCAAAACGGACACACACACACACACACACACACACACACACACACACACACACATCCGTACTATTGATGTGGGTCTTCACATGTGCAGTCAAAAGTAGGGGCTGGCTGTCTGGATGGGGGGGGGGCACTTGCTTGAAGGTGAAGTGAAGGTCGAGACTTTATTTTTTGCTCTTGATCATATCTGGACTCCTTTCAAGGGTGTAATGTGCAAATGACAGAGAGACGTCCAAAGTGTGTGCGTGTGGTCGCCAGTGCAGCTGCTAACACACATGCGTGCGTACACACACTCGCACTCAAGCACACTAGTACTCAGTGATTGGAGCCTTTGGTCTTCATCAGGTCAATCAGTGGACTCTTTAAAGAGAAAAAAAAAGACCTGCAGGGCTGTTTCTGGAACCAGTGAGCAAATACAGGTCTTTACAAAAAATGGATGCATGTGTGTATGAGTGCATATGTGGATGTGCATCTGTATATGTGTGTGGGTGTATGTGCTCATGTCTTTTGATATCAATATCTTGCCTTGATTGCAGGGACATGTCTCGAAAAGAATGTCATTATGGCTTCCCCCCTTAAAATTTGGTGCTCACAGAATTTTGCGGCGACCACTGTCCAGGGAGATCTTATTTATTTTAATTTAACAAACAATACCTTTGTGTTATTTGATATACACACACACACACACAATTTTTTTTTTTCTCCCGTCACTGGAAACTTTGTGCCCCCTCCGCATGGCAACTCTACAGTAAAATGATTTTTCCATTACTTCAATTTGTACCATGACTACTACGATATATTTTTCTCCTCTCTTGGAATTCAGCAGCCTGTGTTGACCGCCCCCACTCCGGCGGCCCCCACCGATTCCTGGCAACTAGGAAATGCAGAACTGAAAGAAAAATAAAATGACCACTGTAATTTCTGATACTACAACATACAGTAGACCAACTGCAAATATGTGAGTAATTGCCATGAATATATATACTCATGTTTTAATGAAAGAATCCCGCTGTAAAATAATAAGAATAATTATGCAGAAACTTGTCGGACAATACGTATCCAGGAAGTGCGCTCCGGTTGACTACGGTCTGACACATTACTTCGTCGGGGGGCCCACCTGCGTGGAACATCCCCGTGTGTGTGTGTGTGTGTGTGTGTGTGTGTGTGTGTGTGTGTGTGTGTGTGTGTGTGTTATGTGCATCCACACAAGTAGAAAAAGGCCCAGAAGGTGCACAGATGTGCAACATGCAAAGTTATAGCTCTCCTTTGGCATAATGCACCACCAGCGGAATCTGACATTATCCCAAAGGGGAAGACCGGACATATCTGGGAATATTCATGATGATGTGGATATTGATAATCATTAAGATCGAGTGTGACAGCATGTGATTGATTTTGTTTGCGTTGGGGTGACAACATTCTGAACTGGATCAATGGGAAGCCCACCTTCCTTTTAGATGTTTTGAAACCTCCCTGCGCGTGCATAGTTTAGTCAGTGAATACCAAGCATTGTAACTTGATAGCATGTTCCTCCATCAACGGCAGAGCTCATACTGTAGGTGTGTGCGTTTGTTTCACTGGATAGCCACAGTATTGGCATCATCCTAATGGAACCACTGAGAGCTACAGTGGGCCAACTCCATTTTTGGGGAGGTGACAGCTACGGCAATGATTACGGTACTTTTTCCTCCGATTTAGGCATTTTGCCAAATAGAAGGATTCTGATGAGGGTTTGATGACATTTATATCAGCAACTGGATACTGTCAACATCTTCACTGTCATACTCTGGATCCTGTTACGGTTCATCTAGTTTGCCTGAAAGAAAAGCAACATCCTGGGATTCTAAAAAACAAAAAAAAAGTTTTTCGCAGTCGTGGCCTGATTCCAGACATGCAGCAAATCTATCAGTGCTTCATGAAAGATGATAGTTGACATTTAAATATGCCAGCACCCAAGATGAAACGCCACTTCTATTCATCTCTGAACCGCATTTTCTGAGATACTGGCCCAGTGTTGCTCATAAACAGCCTCGTGCATCCATCATTCTCCATGAATCAGGAAGTAGCCTGCTAACTCACAAATGACAAAAAAAAAATCAAACGTAGTGCTCACAAACTAATCGCCTTCGCCGTATTACAATAAAGGCGGTTTGACACATTCTCAGAAAACCTGTGGGATTAAAAAAACAAAAAAACAAAACGAGTAGGCAATAAAATTAAAAGTGCCAGGCGCTTGACGAGCCAAGTCGAGGAGCATAAATATTGCCAGAACAATGAAGTGAGGACCGTAAACGTCAACTGAAGCTGGAGGCTCACCAAAAGTCAACCGTGAATAAGTTGAATGGCCAACGGCCGGTGTGTGTGTGTGTGTGTGTGTGTGTGTGTGTGTGTGTGTGTGTGTGTGTGTGTGTGTGTGTGTGTGTGTAAGATCTTTCAAAGAAGCAGATGTTTGAACACTTTAAAAAAAAAAAAAAAAGTATTGTCTTGTCACACCATAAAATGTTCTGCTCTTGTACCATCGACACTTGACTTTTACGATTTGGTAACTTTTTGTACCCGATAAAGTTTACTTTTGGTGTCCAGTAATTTTCAGTACTAGTGCACTGCTGACCGTTGTAACTTCAGCAGTCTCTACGTGACAAAAATCAACAATTATTTACGGCTGGATCAGTGTATCCGTTATGCTCCCAAACCTAGCAACACGAACTTCTCCTTCCTCCTAACCTGGAGCTGCGAGTCTCTATTTTCAACCTGGAGCAGGAAGTCATCCGCCCACCTCCCCCCACTCCACCCCCTCAAAGCACAGCCCCTCAGTGAATGTTTCTGAACTATTGTAGGTCACCACACAATCGATTGTTGTACTATAGAAATAAAAATGTCCTCCATCGTATCACCGATTGAAGGTCAGCAGTGCTTGAAAACCCCCTCGATGCGGGCGAAAATGGCACCGTGACCCGCCGGTCCTCAGTGGCGGCGGATAATCCGGCATGAGAACAGCCTGTCAGCCATGATGAGGCCTAATGGCGGACGCCGATGAGAACTGTGCAGTGTTTTTTGTCATCTGTGTGCCAAATTAGCGTGAGGAAGGGGAGGGAGGGGCGGTGACGGTGGGAGATGGGGTGGGAGCGCAGATGGACCACACCGACTGCCTCGCTTTGGACTAATGTGGACATTTTCTCTCTCCGGGGTCAGATATTTACTCCTAATTAGCCGGAGGAATGCGACGCATGAGAGCGGAACAGATACGTTACCGTTTTGGCCGGAATTTCCTCTCCCCTTTTCCACGGCATGCGCTGCTTTAACCTGATTAGGTATGGCACTTATCGGAGAGAGATGAAAGCGCTCCGGGATCAGTGACGCATTGCTGGACCCCCCCATTTTGTCTCGTTTCTGCCGCTGATTCCCCCCCCCCCCACACCCCCCGCCCCCTCTCTCTCTCCAGTGGCGTCGCTCTGTAAATTGTTGGCGGTGATTTAGTGTAACGTCTGACACTTTGCCCTCGGCGTGGCACTTGTTGGGATCAAAAGGGGTTGAGATTCTTTCCAGAAAAAAATGATTACTGTGTGTGTGTGTGTGTGTGTGTGTGTGTGTGTGTGTGTGTGTGTGTGTGTGTGAGGGGGGGGGGGGGGCGGTGCTGTATATGAGATAAACAAGTTTTATGAGGTGAGAAATGGGGCATGCTGTTGTCAGGAAGTGAGACCATTTACAACGTGTGTTTGTTTCTTTGTGAGCATCCAAACTGCTGGCAACAATCGGGCCAGATTTTATTAGTTGCTCTTTTGCGTATTAAAAAAAAAGAAAAAAAAGAGAGAAATAAAAATCACAACGTGAAAATAATTGGAAATATTCTGAACCTGATTATCTCCGACCTAACTCTGGAAAGGTCCAATTATGAGGATTGGAAGACCCTGTAATGAATGAATCTTCTCACCCATCCCTCCATCTATCCATCCATTTTCTGTAACGTTTATCGTCATGCTGGTCACAAGTAAACTAGAGCCTATACCAGCTGATTTGGGGCAAGACAGGTAAGGGTCAACCCTGGACTGGCCGCCAGCCAATCCCAAAGCAGGGACTTGATGATTGTCATGTGGAATATCAACATTTTAAAATGGAACACCAACTCATTCGCCGTCGCAACAATGTTAAACGTTCAGCTACTGTAAGAGCTAGCTCTCTCCCCCTTCGCCTTATTTCAGGAATATTACTGTAAACACCAATCTTGTTGCACGGACTGATGAAGCCTGCTTTGATGAGAGGCGAAACGTCTTTTAAGATAACAAGAAGAGTCCAGTTGTGATTGATTCAATGCCCTGAGAATGAAATGACCTGGATGAAAAACAATATTCACAAGCAGAAATTTCAGAGTCAAAAAGATATTTATTATCTAAAAGCTATTGGGCAACATTCGTGTGGACTTTAACCAATTACCCCAGGTTCTGAAAATGCAGATGTTGCGAGTTGCAACAGGACACCCAAGGTAGCATTACTATCTAGCTAGCTAGCTAGCTTGACACTCTATCTATCTATCTATCCATCTATCTATCTATCTATCTATCTATCTATCTATCTATCTATCTATCTATCTATCTATCTGTCTATCTATTTAACTGGCTATTTAGCTAGCTAGCTATTTACAGTATTATCCCATTGACACATAATTGATGCTTTTGACATCCATTTTGTGCTGCCATGCTTTGGCTTTTTCATGTCATTTTGAACCCCCTTTGCCCATCTGGCTCCCATGTTAAAAAGACACAAGTGGTAAGTGGATTTTTCATGTCGTTGTCAGCTTTATCTCATGTTGTCACCGATGCTGTCTCAGATTTTCCACCCGGCTGACAAATGAAAACCGTCTGCCTGTGATCACGCTCTGTGTATTTGACACACTTGATCTAAGACGTCAGATCAGCCGACTCACTCCTACACACGCAGCACGGCATGCCACACACACGCCGAGCACTCTGCGATAAACCGCAGCCTGTTTACGCAACATGACGCAGCGTGGTGGATTAGTGGTAAGCACATGCCCGTAAAACTTCAGCTCAGTGGGCATCTTAACAATGAGCTGAAGTGTAAAGGATTCTTTTTTTCATTTTTTTTCTCTCTATTTTGTAATTTTTTTTTCATGGTTCTTTCTCAACCCCCCCACCCCCATTTTTTTCATATAATGAATTTATCAGTATTAAAATATATATTTTCAATAAATTTCAGTGAGCATCAATTGATATTTGCTATTTGCGGGAAGGCCCATTATCTCATATTGTATAAATAAAAAATACACACACCCAAACTAGTGTATAACGTGAAGATGGAAACGCCAAGTGGATCTCCCATGCTTATATTTTGTTATTTTATGAGTGAAGCTTTAAAAAAAACAAAGCAAACATTTATATATATAATTAAATACAAATTTGCAATAAACAGGGGATTTCTGTATCCCCCCCAAAAAAAAAAATTATATATATATAATTTTTTTTTTTTTTTTCTGAATCAGGCGCACACAGACAATCCGAGAAGCCATCCAAACATGTAAATAAACCCTTGGTTGCCAAAACACTGGGGTCAGCTGCTGTGTTGGAAATCATTGATTGTTGTGTGGTCCTGGTCCCATGTTCCACAGGGACCGCTCGGTACCGGCCCCTGGTCAGCACGACAAGGGTGGGCATCCCTCACAAGTAACCTCAAGCCATTTGAAGATGGGGTTTGTGGCTACTTTCCACCCACAATGCAAGCTGCCTTTGATTAGATCTCATTTAAGTGGGCCCTGAAAAAGGGGGAGAGTGGAGGTTTTGAGGGTGGGCTTCCCACATGAGGGTCCGCCACCCTCTCCCGCAGAGTCCTCAGCTCATGCGTTTTGACTGTCATCATCTCCTGCGCACAGCAAGTGATGCATTCGGATGCGGTGGGCTCTGGCTCATGCATGGTGGTGAATGTTCGATGAAAAATGACCGTCCATTTTTACACACGGTGACTACCGAGTCATCTAACCCACCCGGGCCCCCCACTCGTACCACATCTTGGTCCTATTTGCTCGAAATGTTGCTGGAGTCTATTGCAAAAATACACAACTATGATATCCAAAGTCCAACTTTGTCACTGGTTATTTTGCAGAGGGGCAAATGAGATACTGCCCCACCAGTACCGTCAAATTGAAGAAAAAGCTTGTTCAATTCATATAGTGCAAGATAATGGCATTCTTAGTGTGGATTTTCTTTCATGATGTTCGGGCACAGATTATTGTGCACCATGAATTTTGTAAGGTCGAAGGGTTCATGAATATCGAGACGAATTTGCTGTGATGGGACTTGAACATTATGTACACTTTTCTAACATGACTAGCGTGTCTAAATATAAATAAATACAGAATTCGATTGTGTATTGCACATAATTAAAAATAACAATCGAGATTGTACCTTTAAAAAAAAAAAATCTAACATATGCCAATGTATCGTTCTAAAAAGTTAAATACAACCGAACTGTTCCGAGGCAGAGATTCTTCCACATACCACCAGAGGGAGCTCTAGAGAATGTCTATACGACATCAGTGAGTATTGACTATCCCAATGCTAAAGGCCTGCATGACGAAGAGCACCGCGTACATCAAAGGAGCTCCCGTTCCTGAGGGCACACAGCTGCAGGTGCAAAGTTTTGAAGGTTTCGGTTACCTGCTCGGGACCACCTGGCTTTGCACACACCCTCCGCTGACCCGTGTCTGCGAGTCACGGTCAGGAGGTGTGGCGGCAACGCTTCTCCAATGTCTCGCGTTCCGCATGACTGACCAGGGCTCTTCACACTTCACCACAACAATGGGACGCTGTTTGACACCCCACCCCCCCCCAAAAAAAAACCAAAAAACAAAACAAAAAAAAAAAAAAAACAGAACTTTGATGTGTCTTGTCCTTTTCAGAAGGGAAGGAAGTATGCACACGCCGGCCAGGTCATAACATTTGGAACACCTGGAACAGGTGGACGGTTTGGTAATATTTAGATGAAAAGCATTCACTCGCTTTAAAAGTGATTTCTGTGATCAATCCAATCTAATTGAATTTATGTAAAACATTTCTGGTTGTGCGTAGTCGTTTCATTTATTTCA